GCAGCGCATCACCAGGCCCCCGCAGCGCGTCACCGGGCCCAAACACACGACACCGGACCTCACTTAATCCCTTCACCCCTAAGAAGACATTGTGGTGGAAGCTACGCGCTCGCCGGACCAATCAGCCGCCTCCCTTTCATCACCTGACATCATTCTCTGCGCGTGCGGATGTGCGAGAAAGCGTGATCACGCGGCAAAAAGTCTGGCTGGCCCAAGGTGCACGTAGCTTCCACAGCACTGTCAGCTTCGGGGTGAAGGGGTGGAGAAAGCAACTTTTGTCTGAATTTTGAGCGACGGGCTAATCTTCTAGGGGGAGAATGGGGGGGGGGGGGGGGGGGGGGGGGGGGGGGGCTACACGAAGGAGGGTTCAAGCAAGAGGGGAGTCCCCTCTTTCCGTCTTCTTGAACTGTTTGGTAGAATGCGCGATTTATGAGTTGAGGAGGAAAGCTAAACAGGAAAAAGTTGGAAAAGTGTTTCATGACTCCTTTGAATGCGAATTTTATGGTGTTGTTTCGTTTATTATACGCAGAGAGGGTGGAAAATAAACATCAAGATGACATAAATTGTTATTTAAATCAATCGTGATTTAATTAATGATTTAAATCAGACCAGGTTTACTGTGATGAGTTAAGTCAAAACTTTCCCGCAAAAATAATCCCGAAAACAGTCTTTATTTACCGCTTGTCTATCATTTATACTCTCTGTGCGCTGAAATGGTACTGAAATCGAAGAATCATCAACCAAGAAAGATTTATATCATGCTGAGACGAGCAAAAAATCAGTGCTCTTCTGATCAAATTTTAGCATTGAGCTTTCTTTCTAGCTTCCACTTCGTTCGTCAATTACGTAAAACGTGAAGAAAAAAAAACAAAAACAAGCTTTATAGTTCACTTTAAAAAAAAAACTGTTTTTGTTCTGGTATAGCGGGGTTGACATCAATAAAAAGTAGTTAATTAGACTGCACTTAAAATTTACTGTAATTCTTTCCTCCGCGTTGTTATCAGTAATCGAACAATTGATCAATGAATCTGTCATGTTTAAAAATACGCGTAATGATAAAGAATCTTTTTTGTTGTTGTTTCTAGCTACAGTGATTTAAATCAAATAAATATCATTCAAACCAAATAAATCAACGTTTTTTTTTTGTTTTTTTTTTTTTTTACGCGCAGGTAAGCAGAGGATTATGTGCCGCCAAACCAATGGTGTTTTTGACCCCTTCTCCGACAACAAGGGGTTTGCGCCAAATTGATAAGGAACGCACTCGAGGGGGGGCGATCCAGTGGAGTTTTTCCGTGCGGGTGGATTTATCGGTTAACCCAATCAAGCTAGGTAAGGCAATGCGCCGTGACCTTGCACTTTTAGTTGTTGATACGGCGTCTGGTCTCGTACTGCCGCTCGAACTCAATCTCAGTCGTGGTCGCATAGAAAAGGCGCGCCACAATCTCTTTATTCATCAAAGGCAAACTTCGGCGGATTTTTTTTTTTTTTTTTCTTAAAGGAGCTGTGCAACGATATTCAATTGGAATGTTTTTCTCTCTACACGAGCTTACTGGCACACCTGGGACTCAAGGATACTCACACGCAACGCCATTGGCCGAGAAACTCCTTTGTTGCGGTGTAATTTCAAGGACAAAAGCGATCATTTTCATTCAATCTCTCCTTTGCAAAATTTGATGACGTAACTCGGGGATCGCAGTACACCCAAGTGACGATATTTGAATGCGGTTCATAGATTGGACCCGAGCATTGCGTGGGCACTCGACTTGGGCTCGTGACAATTGCTAGCTCGAGAAGCATTCGGGTTGTGACCCGTGTCCAATTGCTGCAACGACGACAACAGCCGAGCCATAACAATGTCTGGAACTCAGCGCGTGTCCTTCGCTTTGCCAACCCCAGCGCGTGGCTATGATCAACACTGGCGGCATATAATCGGCTCCAGATCACGTGGCCGCTTGTTCTGGCTGCGAGTTGAGGGGGTGAACGCTGCTCGTTTTTCTTAAATTTTTTTCTGGGACTTCTATTGCGTGGGTGAAAAACGAACGCGTGTTTCATAGGTCATTAACGTTAGGGATCCGTTTTAAGCGGTATTTGCGCAAAGTAGAAAAATTGTTGCATAGCTCCTTTAATGCAAGTTTCTAATTGGAAGGTGCTACTGGTGACTCTAGCGAAATCGACGCCGCGTAGCGGCAACGTCGAGAAGCTCGGGAGAGAGAGGTCGTTTCCACTCTGTCGTCTGCTATCGCTGCTTGGTTCTCGTAGGCAGCATAGAAACAAACATCGTTTCCAGTAATTATTGTTATGCTTCCGCCCTGTCATTTCTACGCACTGACTAGAAGAAGGTTTCTACCGTCGAAAAATTGCTTTGCTTTTATATGGAACAGAGATTTTACGCTGCAGAGCAGGAAATGTATGGTGGTCCGCATGCTGAACGACGAAAAGGGCCTCCTTTCGTCCGCCATTTTGCCTGACCAGCGCGCCCCCTATAGTTCGCTGGCCAGCTAGGTTTATAGTTATGAGGCGAATATTTGAAAGTAATAATTAGTGAAGTTTGGGTAATGAAATTGCTAATAATTCTTTTTCTTTCGTATACACTGGCGTTCACCGTAGTTGACATGTAACGTCCGAAGAAATCATTCCTTTATTTTACATGCCCCGTTTATTTTAATTTAATAATAATCTCGGTTATTAGTGAAAGCCGAGGTTTTGACTTCTCTTTGACGATTCCCTTCAGCTTTAAATGGGGGAACGAGCGTATGCGGCACGCCCGTGGAACCCTGCCGTACAGGCAGAGCAGTGAAAGCTTCGTTCACGCCAGACTCATCAGTTCCCTTCCGTTTATCGCCTGACGCGTCTACGCTGTATATGCGCAGAAAGTGTGGCCACATGGCACAAGACCGATGGCTGACTGCATCAAAGAGAACGTAGTTTCCATCGCACTGTCAGCTTATAGTCCCTCGGGGGCAGATGGTAGCCAGTGTTGGCGGTAACGGGTCACAAGTAGCGGCGTTACCGTAACGCGTTACTATTTTCTGTAACGTAGTCGTTGCCTCTTCAAAACGGTAACGTACTTACGTTACTTATTTAGAGTGACGGGTGACGCAGTTACGTTGTTACGTGTTCCCAAAACCGGAAAAAAGTACACTTGTTTTTTTTTTATTTTTTGTGTTTCTATACTTTGTTTTACCTTAAACCCAGAAGCAACCAACGCTACAAGCTGATGGGACCGTTCGGACAGCTTCAAAAGGGCACCATCATGGTGTTCGTCGTGTTTCTATGCGTGTTATCCTTAGTGAAAAAGTATTATTTGTATAAGAAATGTCTTGGTCTAATGAACGCATATGATCAACTAAGATCATATAAGAACATACAATAACTTTATAAGAACAATATAGGATTATACAAAAAGCTATAAAAATCTTTTATCCTATATTGTTCTTATTTGATCATAGGCGTATATTGGTTTCCTATAACTTCTTATATAATCATATGTTTTTCTTATATGTTCTTATAAGGTCATTGGATGATCGTATTTGATCATATGCGCTTATTGAACCAAGAAATTTCTAATACATATAATATTTTTCGCCAGAGATATCATTGCTGAACCAATTATGAACAAGACCAACCAGCGCCTGTCCCTGTCGTTTATGTTATTTCCTATCGTCCCTGTCTGTTTGCGATTTTAAACCTTATACCTAAAATGTACCAACAAGCCCAAACCGAAGTTTTAATCAGTGAGTTAAGCTTTTGACGCTGCTTTAGAGGCTTTAGAGCGTCGGCTGCATCTGGACTTAAGCTAAAGCGAAGAGTAGGCGCCAAGTCATTAATTATTGCACTCATTTCACAGACCTTCAAAGGGTTTCCTGCCTTTCCCTGCCACAAAATAATCCACTCTGACAAAAAAAAAAAGTTTACGTTTTTTTTTTTTTTAACGTCAAAAAACGTTGTCGCGAAAAAAAAAAAAAAAAAAAAAAAAGATCTCTTTTGAGATGTGTTTTTATATTTTCCGTTCGTCTCCGGTCTTAAAGGAGCTGTGCAACAATTTCAGGGCTTTCCTTAAATAATAGTGGAAGTTGATGTATGACACTTCTGAAGTGAACTACAGAAAACAGATTTTGCCTGGATATCCTAGTTTCTATTTAAAAAAAAACGAAAAAGATCTAGGTTTTTGCCGCCTCTCAACTCGTACATCGTCCTCCGGGTCACGTGCGCAGTGACGTCGATGGGGTAAGCGCGGGGCTCCGGTAAAGTTCTTTTTTTAGGGCCATCAATGAGCAGCGAGAACTCATCCGCTCGCGATCGCGTGACCACGTGCTGTCTCATCTGGGTCCGGCCATACCTATCCGGCCTTGTCCCCCTCCCCCTTTGGCTTCTGGCGGCTGTTCGCGGTAGCAGATAGAGCTGACGGTTTTGTGGATGGCGTCACTAAAACTACGTATGATAAAAGTTTTGTCCATGATACCAGGTTTTTGACGCATTTATATTTATGTTGGAACGACAAGGTTTATAGAAAGGTTACCTTTTATCGAGCCGGTTTTCGCACAACTTGCTATCTTTCTACAAGACGTCATGCCGCGTGTTTCTCGGGCCGCCGCTCGCGGCTGCAGGTCGGGGAATATTCTAATTTTTGCCTCGCTATTACGCGGCGGAATCGAAAAATTTCGATGAAAGGAGGAGTGTTTTCTGTCATTTGTGACAAGGTGAACAATATCAAAAGTAGAAGATGCCAATTCTTTCAACGTTAAAATTGTTACACAGCTCCTTTAACAATGTGCTGTTGCTATTTTATAAATAAAAATTCGCAAAAGAAACGTGCGTTACGTTTTGTCTATCGGTAACGGTAAAGCATGCCTTTTATCTTGAGGTAACGTAGGTTGGTAAAGCGTTCCTTTATTTTGCAAGTATAAAGTAACTTATTTCGTTACTTTTTTTCCGGTAACGCCTACAACACTGATGGCAGCCCATATTCGCTAACCAGCTCACCAAGGACCATTCGCGCCATGGAGACGGGGAAAACCGGACCCGTGGCATACCAGGCGTCCACACTCAAGAGCACAAAGGCTGCTAACCAAACTGAACAGTGTAGAGCCTCCTCTACGCAGGGACAGGCACCCACACCCGTCGCAGCAACCATCACCATCGCACTCCAGCGCCCGTTGTGCGGCCGTCTGTTCGCTACCCACACGTTGGCGGAAGAGCACCTGACAACGGCGCACGCCGATGGTGTCCTCCAGCCGCTTCCACATCCCAGTAGCCAGGGCCCAGTGGCGGGCAACCGCTGTCAGTTATGCGACAAAGCGTTCGCCTCGACCAGTAGCCTTCGCACGCACACGCTCATCCACGCGGGCAGACGGCCCCACGCATGCCTGGTGTGCGGCAAACAGTTCACGGCCTTGTCGAACCTCAAGGCCCACGCGGTCATCCACACCGGAGAGCGGAGATTTCGGTGCAGCGAGTGCGGCAAGGCCTTCGTCACGTCCAGCCACCTCAAGACCCACTCTATGGTGCACAGCGGCCGAAAACCCTTCCAGTGCGAGGTCTGCCTCAAGGAGTTCGCCGTGAGCAGCAACCTGCGCTCGCACATGTTCGTGCACACGGGCGAACGACGCCACGAGTGCCACGTCTGCGGCAAGCAGTTCTCTTCGTCCAGTCACGTCAAGACCCACATGACCACTCATTCCGGCGAGCGGCCCCACCGTTGCGATCTCTGTCCCAAAACGTTCTCCGTGGTGAGCAACCTCAAGGCCCACCGGAAGATTCACCTGGGCCAGAAGGACCACGCGTGCGACGTGTGTGGCAAGCTCTTTTACACCTCCAGTGATATGAAGTCCCACAGGATGGTGCACACCGGCGAGAAACCGCACCAGTGCCTGGTCTGTCTGGAGCGGTTCGGAAAGCGGTCCAACATGAAGGCGCACGCCTTGACGCACACCGGTGAGCGTCCCTTCAAATGCCAGTTCTGCGAAAAACGCTTCTCCAAGGCAGCCAACCTCCGCATCCACGTGAACAGATGCCACGCCGAGATGATCGCCGTCCAGCCAAAGCGCGGTTATGCATGTCCTCACGCCCTCAACGAAACAGCGAGCGCGTCTCTTGTTAGGCTGGAAACGACGCCCACTGATTGCATTGCTGAACAAGCCGTTATGGAAGAAGACAGTGCTCCTGGAAACGGATGCACGATGGAGTATATGACCCCGAAGGATGATGTGACGGTTGCAAGTTTGTCGGCTGTTATTCACGGTGATCTTTTTTGACCGAAGGCGGGGGTTGCTCTCGAGACTTCCTGGCAAAGATCATTGTCTCTCAGACCGGACCGTAACGCACAAAATTGAGAAAAAGAAAGAGATGAATAAGAAAACTTTTAGAATAGCCTTTCTCTGTAACCCGCATCACAATAATTACGAAGAAATGTACTGCCGCACTAAGCGTATGATCACGTGGCAATTGTGGTTATCATCTGAAGTACACGCAGAAAGTGAAACGAAGAGAAGGCGGGTTAATTTGCCTGCGATTTCTTAGAAGAAAAAAGAGCCGCCACCGGGCAAAATAAATTTCAATTTACTAAATGTTTATTTATTTATTTATTTATTTTTCTATTTTAGAATTGCACTAAATAAAACGACATGACATGGTGTCGTGCAATATTCAGAAACGTCCAATGAAACTGCGTTATCAACTAAGGAACGCACCAATATTTTGTTTGCGTGCGCTGGTTCGTAAGAGAAAAAAAAATTGAACTGATAGAACAGACTTTGTGATTGCCCACCACAATAGAAAAGAAGAAGAAAAATGAAGAGAGGTTGAGGACAAGGAGGAGGAAAGCTGGCTGATATATCAGGTCGTTAAAAGCAAACACGGCCTCCCGTGTTGTTACTCCAGTGGCTGTTCGTCTTTTTGTCCGAACAATCCCAAAGGAATGTGCGTTTAAATACTGCTTGAATAACTCGGCGACGGGTCTAATGCCGCTGTCGGAATAGGGTGTTTTCGTCAACTGCTCTCTGACTTCAACTGCGCTCCTACTTCTGATTAAACCAGGTGTAGAACTTTCTCCTCATGATGGTGGGCGAGTGAAAGCAAAACAATGAAAGTGTGCGCGCCGGAGGAGGAGAGAACTGTCGGTTTCTTTCTTATTCAGGGGCCTCACACACTCACACATTACATGTCGGCGACATGAAATGTGTGTTGGAGTCGTACAAAACCTCAAAAAAGCAACTGCCATCTCAGAAAAAGAAAGAGAAAAAAAGTCATATTATTTTTATTCTGAAATGTTTTTCCAACCAACTTGTTTGTGAGCTGTCGTAGTTTTCGCGAAACTTCTCTATAATATGCGGGAAAATAAGTTATCGTATTTGGCATGCAGACTGGTTGACCTTGCCATAAGCGTTTACGTTATATTTTCCTCCTACATCGTTTCTTTTTTTTTCTTTTTTTGTCCGTTTGTTTGGTATATATTTGAAGAGGGACGGAAACCGCCCGCTGAAAGCTCTGCGGTCAAGTAAAGCGCTCGTGTTTTACGTTCGATTGTTTGCCGGTCCTCCTGCACTGCTCTCTAGTGACCCCGTAGAACAATGGTTAAAAATCGCGCACAAAGAGACAAGGACAATGCTCGTCCGAGCCAGGGGTCACACGGTACGGGTTTGAAAAGCTGCTCGACGCCGCCTACACTTCGTTTCACGTTACGATAGAGAGCAGAGATGGCCTAAGATAGAGCGCTGGCTGTCCAGTCCAGCACTCTAAACTACGTGCCGCGTGCATATAGCTGTGCTGTAGCTGTGCCTGTTCCGTGGGTCACGTGATGGCAGGGGATTTTTGTAGTCCGCGTTTCCCCCGTGCTAAAGGTGGGAACACATGAGCGGCAAAAACGGGCACCGGTGCGCTGATTCCCATAGCGAGTGAACGCTGTGACACGCGTGGACCTATGCCAAGCCGCACGTCACAGCGTGCGCGCAAGTTGCCATGGAAACTTCCTCGCGGCGCCAGTTTTTGTCGCTCATGAGCCGCTACTGCGCCTGCGCGCTGAGGGCCTCAAGTGCCTTGAGTGTAGAGTTCCGGGTATCGAAGCGGGTGGCGGTGAGCGTTGCGGAGAGGTTGCGGGATGTTTTTTTGTATACCCTGTTTTTGTTTTTTTGTAGCGTAAGCTACACTGGCCGAGGTTGAGCAGTTTCACGTGGCTCCTGGAGAGCTGTGATGCGCATGCGCGAGGAGCAGTGATTTCCATCACTGCTCCTGGTATGGCCTACAGTATTCTAGTACACTGTAGTATGGCGCCTAGATCAGTCCCCGATGCACGCGCCGCGCGCATGCGCCCGCTCGAGATCATGGCTTGCGCTGTCCGGTTGTTCTGGGCGGCAGCTTGGTTGCTTGATGCATAACAACACGGCGCACAGCTGGACAAACCAACGACGGCTCTGAACGACGGGCATCTGGCACGGCCCAGCGGAGGACAGGATTAATTTGGACCACCTGGGGATCTTTTGACTTGCAAAAGCTCGGTTACACGGCGAGGTAGTCACATAATGCGTGTACCATGTGTGCGTCATTGAAGCAGCAGTAAGCATGATAATCAAGCTAATCCTAGACAACCAGGAAAGCTAAGAATAACCAGCTGAACCTAAGCTCACGCTACGTACATCTTGGCATAGCCGAGCTAGCCACTGCAATATTTTATCTCCGCTGTGGATAAAATTCTCCCGCGCGAGGGAATCCAGACGTCAGAGTTTTTGCCAATGTGTTTAAACTTTTCGCTCTCATTAAAAAAAAAAAAAAGATTGTTTTTTTTTTTTTTTTTACTGTTTTGCGTGCACGATATAAATTCGCGCCTTAGGTTGCTTTATAAACAAGTTCTTGCACACTGACACGGGTCTTTTTTTTTTTTTTCTTTTTTTTTAGTGGCGAAGGTTTTGTAGCGGAACCAGTGAGATGACGTCAATAAAATGTTATTTTGATATAGACTGCGGTACGGTTAACAAGGATACCAAACTATAACAGGCTCGCCGGCTTTTAAAGAAAAAAGAGTATCAAATATTCGCTATCATTAAAGTATAAATTTATATAGTAAACGTCGCGTAGATGCTTGCAGACACACGCACGTGCATAAACATAAAAAAAAAACAAAAAAAAACCTTGAGGATTTTTTTTTTTTAATGCCAGATGCATTTATACAGAAGGTGAGATAAACAGTGCGATTCCCAACCACATGGTCGGGAGAAAAAAACCGCCACGGAGATAAGAATTTCAATTGACGCCGCGCGTTGACATTTCGCTCATTGAAAATAACCCAAGTTAGGTCTTTTGTATCGCCGTAACTACCGTTTATCTTCGTAGCTACTTTTTCTTTTCTTTTTTTTTTCTTTTTTATGATGCTATAACTTTATCGTGGCGCAACCTTGAACTATCTGGGTGCAACATATTCGGAGCTATAAAAACAAAATATCACCTGCCGGCCATTAAACGGCATCTAGTAAACGTCGTCCTGTTAAACAAGGAAAATTAAACATGGGGCTTTTATACACGGAAGATTTTACAGAGATCCCTGAATATGTACATTGCGCGACACTGTTAGCGCGAATACGAGATTGGCGCCTTCCCATTTGTTTATGGTACCCCAAACGAGCACTTGTCACCACACTATCATAACAGTTTGTATGACAGCCTTTCGACTCTAAGATATTTAGAATAAGCCTTCTATCGCTTGTGGCTCGCGCTAACACATACATGCATGAGCGTCGTATAACAGCCTTGAGCCGCTTCGTGTGCACGCCATTTTTTTGGCGACCAGAAATGAATTTTCACTCACTTTCTGTAGTTTACCTTCTGTGCGTGAGAAGCCGACTATGCACAAGCAAGTTGCCCTGAGCGATATGCTTCCTCTGATTGGACGCACGTCCGAGCAGAGGAAGCATATCGTTCAGGGCAACTTGTATCGAGTAGAGGAAGCATATCTGATGGGATGATGGCATACGTTGCATGTCCTCGGAAACGACTCATAACGATACTGTCGACAGTCGACTGACGAACTCAATTGTTACAACTTAGTTTGGCGACCACACATTTCCGTTTCAGCGTGATCGACTGGGCAACGGCAAATGGTTCCAAAATTTTGAACGCTAACAAAAAGAGTTTTGAAACGGCCGGAAGGGGCTGATTGCACATCACTTTGTTCCGTCAAAAAAAGAAGCGTGCACGCCAAAGAAAGGAGGCACACCTCGCTTTTACTCGACACACGTGCGTGTATCGGGCTGGCTGAATCACCCAGTTATGGCATTGCAACTTTTGCAACGGCAGTTATTCTACTCCACGTACTTTTGCGACGTGTGCGCAGCGCTGGTGTGCAACGCGACCAAACAAGGGGAGAACCGAAACGAGGCCGGAGCGGGATTTGCCCGCGAAGCGCTTGACGCGAGGCTTTGAGTGCGAATCAACAGGAAACCGGAGGGGAAAACCTGATACTCTTATCGTGTCCGACGCGCATACGGTATTCGGCGGCGTCGGGACGACGCGGAGACGTGTTCTTGGCAGTTTTCACCCCGGGTCCACGCTGGAGGGGACATTCCCTTCAACCTGAAAACAAACTTAGGCCGAGTAAAGAGTACACACCCTTCCTTACGGGTGTTCTTGTGTTCGAATTCTCCTTATGGTAGGACCATACAAGCTTGTGATGATGTCTGTGATGCCCATATGACATGGATGTTCCACCGTTATAAAGGATTTATGAAATTATAGTTTGGGCACTTTCAAAGTAAGTTGTGTCAAGTGTTTGTTTTTCTTTCGATGTTGTCAGTAGGAGTGATATAATCGCCAATTAAAAATTGGCTGTAGCTCCGCCCCGTCGCCCCGTACTGCCCACCGAGCAAAGGATTGTTCGCAGTTAAAGGCCTTCGGTCTGAAGCAGTGGCGTAGCCGGGGTAGAGCCTTATGGGGCTTCAGCCCCCCCCCCCCCCCCCCCCCCCCCCCTCCCCCTCTTCTCCTTCTGCACCTCAAGTCATGTACATCCCAGCCATCTCAATCCCCCCTTGCAAAAAAAAAAAAAAAAAGAAAATTACTGGCTACGCCACTAGGCCTCTCAAATGCTCGGGGAACAGGGTTGTTTTACATAAATGTAGCTTCTTCGTGAACTAACGACGCAATTCGTACACGTATTCAGTAATGTCTTTTTTTTTTTTTTAGAACACGCGAAATTACTGGAAATGTGTTTGTATGATAGCAAGAAAAACAGCCGAATTGCCCCCAGTTGCCTGTAGAAGATGTTGTATTGAACTGCCCAAAATATGTACAGTAATATAGTGCCGTAATTTGAAATATATATAGTTTTTTCCTAACGTCATTTCTTTATTCCAGCCTTGTGTATATGGAAAATACACCGTTTAGTTTGAACGAGA